ATTCTATGAAACAAACAAGACAAAATTATCCCCCTAGCATCAATAACTGTTAGGAGCCATTTGTGGGCGAAGCTTACACATAATGTCGCAGAACTTTGCTACTTTCAGGGAAATACCTTTATCTTGGTTGTTTAACAGGTAACGCAACGAAATGTACACATACCCTGCCTCCGTGTATTTAAAATGAAACATGCTAGAAGTATGAGTGTGTGTTTTTCAAAAACCTCCCTGCTTCTTCTTTTTAGTTGTAAATATACTGAGCACCTTATACCTCCGTGCCTGTGGTTCTCTCTGTTGGTGCCTGCCAGGATCCCCGACTCACTTGACTTTTATGTTTTAAAATATTCTTTTCATTAAAAACAAATGGGAAGCTTGCATGCTGCAAAGAAAAGCACCAGCCTTTAACATCGGGCATTAATAAAAATGGCTGAAGCCCAGTGCTCTGCTTGGAAAGATGCCCACTTATATTCAAGGGGGGAAAAAAACCCACAGAATGACAAGGAGCAGCGTGAAAGATACGGGATGGGAATATGCTTCTGCTTTGTGTTCACAACAAAGCAAAATGATCCTAAATCCTATTGTAACAATTGAGTCAAATCTATATACCAACCTCTTTTTATTGTGCATGCTGAGAAATGAGGACTTTGTGAGTGGCCATACCCACATTGGTACGTATTTTATAAATAGGCAAAGCTGCCTCCCCAAATAGTAGCCAGACTTTCAGAATATTCACAAGACCCTTGATTTGAAATACATCCACTGGTTCAAAAGGATTGCCTACCCCTGATGTAGGAACAGGTCATCTCCATGCGGCATCTACTATTACATATGACAGGACAAAAAAACGCTACGACTATCAAAGACTTACCATTTAAGGTACATCTATTCAGGCAATACACGTTGTCCATCTATCATAATGGCCAAATAGCATCATTCTGAAAAAAGAAACTTTCTAGCCTCAGTAAAGCATGGAGAGATTGCAACATCTGCCACTTAGAAAATATACCTATACTGTCAACAATAACTGCAATGGTCATGAAAATACATTGGAGATGCTTGTTCAGAGCTACTTTAGAGCACACCAAGAAAAGGCCACAAGTGGAAGAAAAAGTGAATAAAATAATTCTCCCCTCCCCTGAATGTTTCTTAATTAGGTCAATCCCTATTATACTAATGATAATACTTGATTGATTAGCCATTAGGCCATATCAGAATACAAAATATAAAATACAGTACAATAATAAGTCCATAAGTTCGAAAACAGAGTAAAAGACATAAGTAAAAGAAAATGCAAATCATATTTCTGTGTCACCCCTACCATTTACCCCAATCAGATCCACATATGCCGTTCTCAGTTGTACTGTTGGTTCAGATAAAGGGCTGTATTATATGTGATTTTTGGATTCTGACTGCGCATGAAATACGTTGTTTTAATATAAGGATCCCAACAGGCCATTCATCTAATGTGCAGTCCAAGATACAGATCTTTCTCTTTCTTATACAACTGACATTCAGATAATATATGTGTTATGTCTTCTATCTCTGGGGCTCCGCAAATACAAGCACGTTCATCATAAGGGACTTGGTTAAACCTTCCATATTACAATATTATAATATGACATGTATAGTATGTCATTTCATAATAATAATAAAAACAGGAGGATAAACACCGCCATTTTTGGAAAACTGAAATAATTGAAAATTGAAATTTATCTTTGGATAAAGGGCACAGACAGACATTGTATGCAAATGCTATCCATTAGGCCATATGCTGGTAGAAAAGTAGGCCAGCATAAAATTTGCTGCCTGATACTGAGCCCATGTGGCTAGCCACTGGTGCTGTCCTTACAGTTTTAAGGTGGGACAAGTTAAAATAAGCAATTGGTGGATTCTCCTGGCTTTGTCTCTCCCCCCACCCCCCACCAATCATGATCTCCTGGCAGGTAAACCACCAGCAATCTTTCTCCCTAATATGGGATGGAATAGAGTTGGCGAAGTGTAGCTGGGACGCCTGGAACATCATGTTCAGCCATCTACAAAGTTGCTTGACTAATGGGTTGTAGATGTTCCATGCTGGTAAATTGTCATTCGGCTATTTCTAAACACAGGTCTAGCATTCTTCTGAAAGAGCGCTAGATCTCTCTCTTTTTTTTTAAAGTATGGGTTTAGTGCTCTTCTAAAAGAGTTCTAAATACTTGTTGAAAAATAGTCCATTTGTGGGGTCATAGGCATGGAGGATGGGCGCAGGGAGAACTGCGGGAGGGGACTTTAAAAGTCTGGCAGGCAAAAACGCTTGTTGACAGAATCCGCTGCAAATCTGCAATGCATATGATGGTGACAAAACCAGCAACTCACAGCTGGTAGAAACAGATGATCTTTCTTAGTCTTAGTCAACCTTCAACCTTCTGTATTGCGCAGGATCAAGACTCTCTTGAGAACTCTTTCAAAAGTGTGGAAAAACAGCACACTTTTGTGTTTATAAAGAACCTGCAAAAAAGCTGAGAAGTACTTCAGAAAGCATTAAACAGGCATGACTGGCCATACCCACACTGATACATATTTTATGAATGGACAAAGCCCTCAATAGTAGTCATACTTTCAGACTGTGGAGTCCTTGGGGTTCTCTGAGCTTGGTTGGCTAGCTGGGTAACAAAACGTTTGCAATAAAACAACCAAGCTCAGAGAACCCCAAGGACTCCACAGTTCAACCTTGAGCTACACATATTCTCTTCTATGAACCCCAAGGACTCCACAGTTCAACCTTGAGCTACACATATTCTCTTCTATGAACCCCAAGGACTCCACAGTTCAACCTTGAGCTACACATATTCTCTTCTATTGATACTTTCAGATTACCCACAACACCCTCAGTTTGAAATGCCACTGTGGAAACCTGGTGTCTCCAGCCAAAGTCAAATTGCCCACAGAGGGAAGCTCCTAACAACTAGAGAGGAGATGGCATGCCTGTAGTATCTTAAACTGGCCAATAAGACCTGGCATATTTCACCCATGACTGTGTTAGCAACCACATTTTTAATGAAGCATGAGAGTTCATAGCTACAGGAAAGTTTTGTTGGGAGAAGAGGGAGTATACTATTTTAGGCAGCTAAAGATGTCATTGAACTAACTTATGGACTGAGAAGGAGACAAAGGCAACATCATGAGGAGGTGATTTATATGTACCAGGGCACACTTCTGCTCTGGTTAGAGGGATATGAGCATGAGCCCAAAGGCTGCTGTTTATCTGAAACTTGGAAGATGTTCTCTTCCAAAAGAGATTATTTGCCTTTTAAATTCCATATTTTTTTGCCAATAAATATATTGACATACTCTTCTTCTTCTTCTTCTTCTTCTTCTTCTTCTTCTTCTTCTTCTTCTTCTTCTTCATCATCATGTTGAACAATTTGTATAAACTGTGGTCATTCTTAGTTGATTGCCAAAGATACACAGGTGGGGCATGGAGATTAGATTTTCCAAATGAAATGAAATCAAATTGAGTTGTGTGCTTGTTTTTGAATATTGGCATCAGCTGTATCTCATTGACATTTTCCACTCTTATAAAAATCTTGATAGTAGAATAAAATCACCGTATTTCACCATTTGTAAGAATGACCCGCTGGATAGGTGATGATTTTACCCAATGCGTAAGTGTGAAAAATGGATTAATTTTCTCTTCATACCCAGCATTTCCTTGAGCCCTATGGTTAAGAGAGGGTGACTGGCCCAAACTCAAGTGCAGTGAACCTGGATGTCCCTGCTAAACATATTATATGTCATGTTATAGTGTCATATGAATACTATACTATACATTGTTATATTATTCATGGTAACATGAATACCACGCTCACAGTAATTTACATGCAGGAATCCACGCATTCACAAATGCACGCACACATATTCCCTGTAAAGGAAACCCATCCCCTTTACTGTAGCAATACTAGTAAATAACAACAATTACTACTATTACAATAACAACAGATGGATACAGGATGTATCCTGGGTTGGTAGCAAAGCTGCTAAATAAAATCTTGGCAAATCTAGAATTTGACTTCAGTCCATTTTTTCACACAGAAATATTGGCTGCACCTAATTCTCAAAAATATATATTGCAACATATTTTCTTGAGGATTTCACACAGAACTTCTGTATTTCATTGCCCATTGGTTTAGCATCAGCCAATAATCAGAAATCAGATAGCCTTTATTATTTATCTAAATCCAGAATAGATGCTTGTATAATAGTATATAATGCAAATGAAATAGTGTTTCGTGTCATGTTTGGATATTATAAGGGGAAAAAAACCCTAATAAGAACATTTGCCATATATGTGCAACTACATAAAAGTGAACCCAACGTTTATCCATGTAAATAAACACTGTCATTATAATTCAGTTTTACTTTAGCATGAAATGGATCTACATAAATTGATCACTGCATGTGGACTTGGATTTAACATGATTTATTGTATTTTCTCCTGAAAGCTATTAAATAAATAAAGGAGAGGACATATTTGCCCAGATCATGCCGTTCTTCTGAAAGCAGATGGAATTTGGTTGATATAAGTTATTGATCCTGTGATATTGTGATGCACATATAGAAGGAATTACTTTGTAAAACTGATGCTCTTTGGTGTGCAGTCACCTAAATATGTAAAGTGTTATAAAAACACAATGACAATTATGTATATCTGACATAGATACTCATTATCAATGGGCCAGATTTTCTGACTTAATTTGGATTCCCCCTTTTTGGTGTGTAACACACATTCTTTTGAGTATTCAGTCATATTTTATATGCGGTTGGCTAGTAGACTCTTCTGGGGCTTCTATTATACTCTCACTATTCTTGGCACATACTGAGCTTCAGTTGAGCACTGTGACGAAGTGCAGAGTTTATGCTTACTGAGATATAGGAAACCTTGTTGAAGAAGAGAATTGACCCCGTACAGAAGAGTAACAATTTTCTCCAGTGGTTCTTCAGGAAGGTCACTTACCTAACAAGGGTAAGGTCGCTATAGAAAAGTCTTGCTTCATGCTAAGAGTGCAGTCTTTGTGTGCTCGGTTAGGGCCTCCAATACACCGACAGACTGCATTGTGCTTAACAATGGCACCCCATGAGCCAGTAGCTTTCTGCCTGTTGTGAAAAGATAGTCCTTTTAGAAGTTCACTAAATGAGGCCAATGTACTTACTTTCACTGGAGTAAATCTGTGCAAGTGTCAGGAAGTAAAACTTACTGAAAATATTAACTTAGTATAAGCTGTGTGCCTTACTTAGGTGGTGAAATATTAGGACATTGTTATGCACAACTTTATTTAATATTCATATATAAAGTATTCATGAATTGGTTTATAGCACAGCCTGATATTTCACATACCCTATACTTATTATTTATAGCCTTGTCAATACTAAATAAACTTTCAACAAAAGGGAATTACAGCTTTTTTTTTTTACATGAGTTTAATGCAAGTTTTCAGCCAAACCTATTTTATTATTTGCAATCAGATAAAATAACCAGCTTTGAAAATTAGCATACCTATGAGGCTTGTGTCAATTTTTACCTCTGTTATTTTCAAGCCAAAATATATGTTTTCATGCAGGCTGGAGGAAGCACCCCAAACTCATATATCTTAACTTTGTGGAGGTGTGGTGGGGGAGGGCGGGGAATTGGAGTGACAAAATGATTGTGTCACTTGTCAGACCAACTGTGCTTCCTTTTTTGAAAGAAGTGATTTACTGGAAA